GTTTAGTGATTTTTAGAGAGAAATAAGGAGGTTTATTTTTGAGCATTAAGGGGTTAGTAATATTTGAAATGTTACCATACCCTTTAATATTGTCATTCAAACCAAATGGGTATGGGGTCATCAGTAGTTTTATCCAGAATATTTCTTTATCTAGTAAAACGCTTTTATTATTAGTATCCAATGAATCTAGTATTGTAACAGTAATTCCTTTATTACATGCGTAAAAGTGGTTATACAGTATTGTGTTTTTATTATGTTTATATATGTTCTCCTATCCTATCCTTTACTTTTCTTATTGTCATTCCCACATATTGTATTCCACAATTATTACAGGTTAAACAATATATAACATTACTGGTGTTGCAATTGGTATTAACTCCCTTATATGTTTTAACGCATAAACCAGTAACATGTGAAACAATATGATTATCTATGCTAGTAACACTACAGGTTCTACAATTCCTATTACATTTACATCCTTTATTGTCATTGCCAAAATCAATAAGTTGATAGCGATTGGCCTCTCCCCTTACCTTTTTGAAATTTGTTTTTGTATAGTAGAAGGACGCAGTGTTTTTTGAGTTGTTTTTTGACCTATGATCTAAGCGCATGGTTGGCCAAAACCACCCGCAGAGAGGACCTTCCCTACGGGTTCGGCGGGGCTGCCGCCGGGGGTAGACACTCCCCAAAATAAGACTAGCGCTGGGGGCGCCAAAAATTGGTCCCTCTGCCACTTTTGACTTGCATAACCCCATCAGCGCCAATCCCCTATTTTTTTGTAAAGAGGTATGGCCCTCTTTTCAAGAGGATTATACCACTTGAATGAGTGAAAAAAGTGTAGTAATGGGATTGATTGAGAAAGAAGAAAGAAGAAAGAAAAAATGGGTAGAAATAAAAAGGAAGAAAAAACTGAGAAGCCAATCACTAATAAAGGATGTAATTGTTCAATGGACACAATTGGGAGGGTGTTGGAGAGTATATGTAACAATAATTACTTTTATTATAGTAAATAATTGAATTATTTTAAAGGACGGGTTGGAATTAGGTCCTGTATGGAATATATTGAAGAAAATAGCCCTATAAAACCTAAAAAAAT